TAAGGCATAATGTAAGCATACCACATGATTATTGCTGATTAAAATCTCTTGAAACAGAAAGAGGTCCTATCTTCTTGGTAAAAGCTTGGATTTAATTATGATTTTATTTAAAAAGGAGAGGATATCAGTATTATCAAAAGTTCTGGAGTCATTGTCTTACAATAAAGTGAAGAAAGACGTAGACACCTGCTGGGTAAACAATTAATTCTTCTCAACTCTAATCTCTCTGATCTTAAAACATTTCATAGGAGGAACAGTCCTCAGTAGGATGGTAGGAACTTACTACACAGAACTACAAGAGATTTACCCTTTATTTACAGAGAACCACAACAAAGATGAACACCCCAAACACAGAGACAATTTTCCTTTCCACTCTACTACAAACAAGAAAAAATAAATGCAGATAATGTTTTGAATTACATTCAATATGTCACCTGCTATTTCACTAAAAGTCTGGGAGGCCTCAGCAGAGGCTGCCACAACAGCTTTTCACTGGCTTTTCTGAGGCTCAGTGCTGTCACTGAGTTTGTCTAGTTCCTGGGGGCATACAGTCCCATCAGCTTTCTGAAAACAGCCTATTTTTAAACCCAAAGCAAAGTCAATGAGGACAACTCCAACACTATTTTTTTTAATGTTTACAGTAGAATATGCCTAAATTTAGACCACCAAACCAAGCATAATATCATGAGCATCACAAATTATTCTAAAGATTTTCTCTTGCAATACCATGACCTCTCTCACCAGTAACTTTCAAGACAGAAATTTGAACAGCACCTAGGAAAGACTGGAAATAGATGTTCATCCATGCCACATAAAGTACTAGCAAAAAAAAAAAAAAAAAAGGCAAAAAAAGCACAAAACAGAACGATTAGTCCCTGTAGACCAGTAAGGCACCTAAGAACAACTAGCTCATGAAGAAGATGCATTTTCTCACCTATTAAGCATCAGAAAGGTAGAAATGCACCGAGATTGTTTGAGACAACACTCTCCAGAGACAAACAGCACCAACCGTGATAATTTAGTTGGCAACCGTGTCAGAAAGTGCAGAGGGAGCAGGTGGCCAAGAGCCCAGAGCCACGGCTCTGCTCCTCTGCCAGCACCACAGCAAAGTGCCAAGGGAGAAGTTGCCTGCTGCTTCTCCCTTCTCCCAACAGCAGGAGAAAAAGTATTAGTGCGACTCGCGTGTTTATCCCTGAAAAGCTCCCTGCCCTCACACGGGCTCAGTAAAAGGCGCTGGCGGAGGGTGCAAACGCAAGGGGCAGCACCGCGGCACTGAACAGCTCCTTGCCCTGCTCCACCCAGTAATGCCCTCCAACGGGAAAGCTATCTCATGGATCGAACACATTTATCCCTCACATTTAAGAAAGAAAAAAGATATTAGGAATATTTAAACGAACTTCTCTTAGGTGTCTGTGCAGTACCTCTCAGCACGAGACTTGAAATGAACTTTGTCACAAACAGACATCCTTCTGAAAGCATCAGAGCTCAGACTTCTACTCTAAGCTTTCGATTCACAAATATCAAAACTTGCTTTTAACTTCAACGTGAACTTTCAGAGCACTGCTCTTACAGGAAAGAAGAAATGCGACTGAAAAACAACCAATACTTAAAGATATCAACAGTGAATAACAGAGTGGAAGAAATTTCTCTTGCTCAGCCTTGAATTCTCATTTCAAGGAAGCTGCAGTCAGCTGGAGAGTTCAGAGAATAGACACTCATGCAGAAAGCATCAAGCACAGAAAAGCAAGGTCTCACAAAAAGCGCTTCAGCAGTTATTAGAAGAGAAAATGCTGAAAGTACTGCTTCATTCAAATTATGCAAAGTTTTTGTCTTTTTTGCAGCAGTGCACTAGGGAAAAAAAAGGTTTTCCTTCCTAGAACCAGCCTGTGAACGCACACAGCATCGCTGTGCCTCCCGCTCATCTCCCGCACTGGGGACTTTTCAAACGCACTCGCCCCAAAAGTTACTCCAGATGTGAACTTGGGCAGAGAGCAGGCAGAGCATCGCGACACTGCGGTGTGTGTGTGTGTGTG